AAAAAAGAAAAAAGAAAAAAACACCTATGGTTATTGGCTCAACAATGAAACTAAAATCGGCCATGAAATGGGCAAAAAAATATTTAAAAAAAAATGAAAATATGGAAATTGCAAATAAACAGAAAACAATACATAATTGCATTTTAGTGGATATTTCTCAAATTGCAAAAGGAATAAAATATTGAAAAATAATTGTAAAAAGATTGTTTGGATCATTTTAAAAAGATTATTACTATTTTCTTCTTTTTTTCAGGTTTTTTTTTTGTTATTGTCGACAACTATTCACCTTGTTTGGTTTTGATTGATTTTCTTAAAATTGAGCTTTATTATTTTTCGTATTCTTTTATTTTTAATGAATTTTTTAAATATTTAAATTTGTTACTTTATAGATGCACATAACTTAGATGCAACTAAAAAATAAAATTAAATACATAAGAATAAAAAATATATACTTACTTTTTATATTTTTTTCATATTTTTTGTATTTGATGAAATTTTTAAAGATTTTTTCATAAATTATACTTTTTAAACATATCTAGGCTAGTTGTATCTAATAAATATATTTTTTTAAAAATTAAAATTTTTCATTAAAAATTACAAAAAATAAAAAAATTAATTTCCTGACAGATTTAAAAAAACTTAACCCGAAACCCGAATTATATAGATTTAAGAGTTAATTACCTAAAAGTTCTATTTAGAAATGTTATGGTAATTTAGGTCTTATTTAAGATTTTTTGAATCAATAAGTCCTATTTAATAAAACTGAAAATATTATCATTTTTTTCAATTTTTAAAATTAAGAATATTATCAATTTTACATAGTAATGTTCCAAATAATTATTTCACTAACTGATGAAAAAAACAGAGCATGAGATTAAATGTTTTCGCCTATGTACTTATTGATTTGATTCAACTATCCAATAAAATAGAGAATATTATCAGTTTTTTCATTTAAATTTTTTTTTTTTCAATTTTGCACATTAATATTCTATCATCACTCTCCTTTATAAACACAAATGTTTTGCACAAAAAAATAATTCAAAATTTTTAATTTTCAAAAAAAAAAATATACCTTGCTTGGTTATCATTTTTCAAAAGCACTTTTCAGAAAATTCTACTTTCTTACTTTTCATGTTTTTTTGTTTTTACTGATTTTTTTTAATATTTTAATTAATTTTTTTAATTTTTAGACATACCTAATATAAATATACCTAAACAGTAAAAAAAAAATTAAAAAAATCTTTTAAAAATTTACTAAATACCAAAAATACAAAAAAAAAAAATGAAAATTCAGTACATTTTTTATATTTTTATGTATTTATTAATTTTTTAAAATATTTTTTTACAATTTTTTTACTTTTTGGATATATCTAAGTAAGGTGCATCTAAAAAAGTAAAAAAAATGTTTAAAATTTTAAAAATATTCACTAAAAATAAAAAAACTCTAGTTTTCAAAAAACTTAATCTAAAAAATTCAAACCAAACACACTGAATTAATTTTTTTTTAGCACATAATTTTTTTTTTTTTTTAAATTTCAATTCAAAAGTTGTTGTTTTAAAGTTTTGAAAATCAAAATAAATGTCAAATCATCATGTTCATTTATAGATAATCATAAATAATTAACAATCATTGTTTGAAGGGTAATTCCGACTAGAACTAATATGCATATGCGACAGGTTAATTCGTCGCTAATAAAATGTAAAGAAATGATAATTACATTAGCGACGGTTTATTATTGTCGCAATAAAATTATTTTTATAAAATCAATACACATTTTATTAATTCATTCCCCGCACAATTTATTAATATTTTTTAAATAAAATACATCCACATCCACATCCACATCCACATTCACATTCACATTCACATTCACAAAATCATATCAAGAATAATATATATGTACCATGTAACAACTGTCAACCGAATATTCTTTACAAAAAAATATAAAACATCCTCCAACAATACTAATAATTTTTTATATTCAATAACTCAAATTTTTGTATCTAAAACAAAACAAAAGTATCGATAATACAAATAAAAAAAAACATATGTATTACATCTTGTTTTGATATCAATAGTAAGCTCCAATATCGATATGCGAAGATATCATCACGTACTCAACAGGGCTGCATCTGCAAAAAGAAACCCAAAAAAAAAAAAATATTTACAATATAATTAATTTTAAGCTTACAGAAAATGTAAAACATTTTATATTTATTTCAACAAATAAATAAATAAATAAGATTGTAAGCTCGAATATCGATATGCAAAGATATCATCACGTACTCAAAAGGGTTGCATCTACAAAAAGAAACAAAAAAAACTAATCATTTACAGTTAGAAAAGGGTTAACTGTGCTAATGTCTGATTCTAATGTAATTGGTTCTTGGAGAGCCTATTGGAGATCAGGGTTTGCATTAACACAAGATGGGTGACAAGTAGCAGCCTAGCAAGGTTGAAGATGACTTCACTGTTTGATGCAGGTGCTATTTTGTTGAGGGTTTATTCTTACAAGACTTTGTGGAACAAAAAAATAAACATATTTTCAATGTTTCTATCTGACATTGATACCAACTTATCTTTTTTTCCCCTCTTGCAATGATAACTTGGCTATTGAAATGGAGATTTGAAGTATGAATGGTGAATAATTAAACATATCATCAGAGTTTTATGGACCTGATTAGCAAGCATTTCTAATTCATTATTAAAAAGAGAAAAGAATGATTGAATCAATTTTACGGAAATCAAAGAAATAGTGAAGAGAAATCGGAATGGAATGGGTACCTCGAAATGCTCGGATTTTCAGAAAGACAATCGGAGCGATTGACTGGTTGTCCAGAGTGTGGCAATGATCAAAGAAAACTCTGACTCACCATTTGCTCTCATCAAAAACATGTAGGAAAACAAATAAGCATAAAAAATCAAAAAGAAAAAAAAAGATTGTGTTAGATTGTTTGGTAATACAAATAAGAATAGTTTAAATAAGTTGATTATCTGAAATTTCAAAGAGGTGCTCAAAAGACCAGCCAGAGTTATTTTCATTTGTAATAACACACAAAATATATATGTATATACTTAAAAATGTTCTCACCTAGTTCCCAGACCATAGATTCTTTCAGGTGGTATAGTTACTCCTTCAAGCTCTCGTAGCAACGCAACAACAAAGAAGGGGGAAAAAACTTGTGTATGCTCTGGCTCAAGAAGGGGGGAAAGGGCATAAGATATCGAAAACAAATCACTTGCAAAGAAAACAGAAAATAAGATGAACAAGTACTCAACACATAAATCAAGTATTTAAATTTGAAACTATAGTCTTAGGCTGCACAAATTGACTGACAACAGTTACTTATGAATAGCATTATTTATAATCTTCAACCAAACAACTATCTCCTACTACATTTAATAAAACACATATACACAAGCAAGTCCATGATGAATTATAGACACAAGCTCTAATTGGATTACTCACCCATCAGATTAATAACCCAAACAGCCATCAGTAAAATACCTATGTACTTCAGTTAAGTTACTTCTGAGTAAACTCAACCAAAATATAATCCAATAACAAACACTAGAAAACCTGTATGCTATAGACTATTATTGATAAGTAAATGCCATCGTACCTATCAAATAACCAACAAACATGTAATTCAAGTTAAGCGTGTTCAGATAGTTTAAACAATGAGAGAGAGAGAGAGAAACCAACCTTTTCTAGGTCATCACTACCTTCACCCCAATGTGAGAAACAGTTATCTAGTACATCCAGGCGATGCGAAAATTGAACAAAATCCTGCCTTACGCAACATAGCTCTTGTTGTAGTATGTTATTACGACATATTTCAAACTTAGCAACTTCTTTTACATGTTTTACTTGCTTCTTTTTAAACTTCAGTTCTTTTCTCTGCATCTTCATTATAGCAGTACCAATCGTGATTCCAAGAACAGAGCAAATAACATCAGCAAACTAATGAGAATCACTGAATAATATGGAAAAAGAAAATAGAGTAACACTCAGAATAATCAAAACTTATTGAACTTCTAAATGTGAAGTAATCTTGCTACATCAATCATCAAATGGAATATGCAGTGTCAACAGATACTTCTAAGAAATGGCTCCTCAGACTATAAAGATCATTCCAAAACCAATGGTTGTCTTGCACAAAGTGCCACTACAAATGTAAATAACTTAAGTGACATGATTTAACTACTTAAAATTCTCACTTAATTTATAGAGATGTCTTAATAATTGTAACACTCAAGAAAGTTCAATCAGTAGGAAAAACTACTCATTGTACAGTCAGGTGTGTTATGAACTATAAAAAAAAAATGAAAAAACTTTTTTCATCCATTCCCCATTAACACTTTATTAACTAAAATTCCAAATCACCACATTATTCCTACTTTTCAATGGTACATTCCAAGTGTTGAGGGTCAATGCTGTGAACAACAAAACAATAACTGGTTATTCATGGCTTAGAAGTTATTGAGTAGAATTTCTCACATCTGTGGCGCAGGTGGAAAAGAAAGATTGGGAAACATGTCAACATCAAAATCTTGCGTCTCCGATAACCAATTCCGCCTTACAAAAAGGGCATGTGAATGGGATAGAAATAAAATTAATTTAAAGGACTGTGTCCACAAATATAATAAATTATGTACAATCCATTCCAATATAGAAGCACAAATAAGAACAAATATAGTAGCCTTTGCATGCAAATCTGGAAAAACAAACATAGGCACATATTAAGTGCCAAAATAGTAAATATACCAACTGCTAATGACAAGGAAAAGACATAAACACCAGCCCAAAAAAAAAAAGAAAAGAAAGATCCTTGAATAATTTATTAAAAAGAGAGGGATGAACATTTGAAAAAATTAAAAAGAAACAGAGAAGATCAGGATAAGTTCATTAAGTAGAGTTCAAAAATATCATCACCCACATCATCAAGATCACCTCTGCTACTCTCACTATCAACTAAACAATTCATGGTTATATAAATGACATCAATTGAAATCCTTCAATCAAAACCCTAGCTTCAATAGCAAGAGACAGGTGAGAGAGCTCTCAATATCATGTAAAATCCCCCAAATCAAAACCCTAATTTTTAACCCAATACTAGATTTGAAATAAATCAAGTAAAAATCCTCAAATCAAAGCATAGAAAATCCTAATTTTTGAATTAAAAACCCTAATATTTTAAGTTTGGAGGATGAACCTGTTGAATCTGTTGAATGAATACCAGCTTCTTGAATCTGAACTCAACCACTCCTCGGCGGCAGCGGCTGACGAGCAGGGGACAGGACAGTGACTCCTTAGCTCTTCGTCTTCTCTCTCTCTCTCTCTCTCTTTTCTGAAATACGTAACCAAGAGAATAGAGGCTTTTGTTTTATTATTATTATTTTGAACTACCTCACCAAAACGACGTCGTTTTAGAAAGTTATTCATCTTCTTCAAGTGGTCTCAACCCTTCGTTTTACATCCTTATTTTTTTTTTGCAAAAATAAAATTTTTTGCGATGGGTTAACAAAGAGCGTTCCAAAAAAAAAAAAGAAAGACGAGTAACATACCATCACGTATAATATTACTTTTTGCCAGTCTTCGATTTTCCATCTCTAATAGTGGTATTTAGTCGGTGCCTTTTTTGCGACAATCAAATGTCGTCGCAAAAAAGATAATTTCGCGACAGTTTTTTTTGCCGTCGCAAACGGTTACTTTTTGCGACGATTTTGAAACCGTCGCAAAAAATTCCGTGTCAAAAGCCTCATTTTCTAGCAGTGATAGTTTCATTAAACACTATATATATTATTAAACTTGTCTCTACTAGGCTTTTAGCTCACCCTATGTGAAAAAACATTTTAGGTGTTGATAGCCTCCGCTAAGGGGATAGAAAAGGGATACCTTGAGAGGATGTTGGAGCTGATGGAGCTTAACACCCACTTTTGTTGTAACCAAGTATAATCTTGGAAACATGTAGCCAAAAAGGCATGAATTTGTAATAATTTAGATATTATTGCTTATCGATCACATGCTATAGATTCAGGTCTTAAAATCAATGAATTTATTAATGCATGTGATATGATTTTGTAACATTAACAATGTTGTTATGATTATAGAATGCTTGGAATTTACTTAAGCTTCCGCGTATTGAATGCATGTAGTATATGTAATAACCCGACCCTCGTACATGTTTTCTGATATATCTTCAATCCTTGTTTTGTGCTTTTGAATGCTTACTGTGAAATTCTCTGAGAAATTAAGGTTAAAGCCTCGTTTGGCAAGAGGCTATTTTAGCCAATTAGCCAAAAAGTTACTAAATTAGCCAAAAAGCCAACAACTCATACCAAAAAGTCAAAGATTCTCTTTTCTCTCTACTTTTTGCACATCTTTTCGTAATTAGCCAAAAAGTCATCCCAAACATACAAGTTTTTTTTACCTACTTTTTTAGCCAAATAGCCAAAAAGTTATTAAATTAGCCTGTTCCCAAACGAGGCCTAAGTAAGCGAATCCCATGTTTAAGGATGTCTATCTGCTTAACAAGAAAAGTATCTGTTACACTTATAATATTTGAATCAGAAATTGGACACCTTAGGGGCTTAATTATCTGAAATTGATTTCATATATGTGATCAGCATAATTTTTTAAGTAATATTAAGTGTTTCTGTGAAATTTCAATTTGGGATGCTTAAACGATTGAATTTTGTCTCTATTCAACCTTATATATGCATACATATCTATAAGAGTATTATTGAGCTTAGACTTAGGAACTTTTCCATCCAAAATCTCCTGGGAGAGAAAATAGAGAGTGTGGAGAAGAAGAATTGGGGGAGAAGAAATTCAACAAAGAAGATTGTCAAATTGAGGAAAGTTGTGGGATTTAATTCAAGGTAAGCTCAATCCCACCTATTTAACCTTCACTTGTTTTGACAACTTAGGATTTGTAGTTGTGGATTATGTATGATTCATGCTTGATTAAAGAGGGTATTCTCATCAATTGGTTGTTTTGAAACCTAATTTAGGTGTTGTATGAAATTTACACTTAAATCTTTGGTTTTTATGCCAACCCCATGAAATTATATTTATGTAACGTGTTATGTTTTATGGACATGAGAAACTTAGATTAAAAGATGGAATTTGGAAAGGTTATAACTTGATTAAGCTTCTAATCATGTTTATTTTGTGATGCTCAAGTTATAATTCATGCTATGGTGATGTTGGGTTAAAGTATTGCATTAATCCAATCTTGGGTTGCATGTAAAATGAAGTGGTGTTGCTAAATTTTGGGTTGAAATCGAGTTGCCCAAAACAGGGGTCATCACCCCACGTGCGGAGGTCATGGCCGCACGTGCGGACAAGAGAAGAAAAATTGATTTTGCATACTGCTTTCGGCCGCTCGAGCGAAGGGGGAGGACCGCACGTGCGGTACATGGCCAATCGAGCGGAGGGTACGGCCGCACGTGCGGGCCCAAGCCAGAAAAAAGATGTTTGCTCCGTTTTGCGTGCTTGACCCTCTGTTATTTTTTAAATATTTTTTTGATGATCATACGATGGTTGTAAATTCATTCGAAACGTAATGACTCGGGGAAAGATTTAACAAGAAAAAGGAAACTAATGTGTGTGTTATGTATGTGTGTAGGACACACTCCAGGAGGAACTATCGCTCTGCCACAACACTGTGAGTAGTAATACGCTTTACTACAGCTAATGATTGCCATTAGCATTCTATTAATTCTGCTATTTATGTAAGTTGTAAATGATTCCAAGAATGTAAATGAATAATGAAAAGGATGAACCTACTTTCATGACTCTGGAATTCCGTAAGACTCTGAGATAAGTTTGCTATGATGATGTCTGGGCCTATGGCCATTACGTATAAGTTGTTATGGTATGGTATGAAACAAAGTGCTACACGGAACTAAGTGCTACACGGAACTAAGTGCTACGAAGTGAGTTACCTCTAGAATCCGTGTGAGACACCTCTTGGGTTCATACATGGATAAGTTCAAGGGCTAAATGCCGACAAGTTTAAAGGCTTAATGCCGATATATTCAAGGGCTAAATGCCAACATGTTTCAAGGGCTTACTGCCATTCCGTTCAAGGGCTGAAAGCCAATATGTTTCAAGATATTATGTTACAAGTCATTATGTTTCAAGTTTGGGCCCAAGGCCGTTCTGAAATTAAAACAGAAATAGATTAACCACATGTTCTGTGTATTTACATACGCACTAATATGTCTTATGTGTCAAGTTGAGCATCAGATTATTTATGTATTACTATTCACTGGGCCTGGCTCACTCTGTGTTATGTCTGTTTCTGTAGGTCACCAACCAGGTGGTCAATCCTAAACGAGGACGCCCGTCCTCTTTTGTCAACCCTTGTGTGTCCAGGCACTAGACGAGGCCATTTATTTTTGGGAAGTTTTGCTACGATGTGGCTCGTGTTTTGATTGTCCATCTACGGTTGATTGTACATAACTCCAATATTTTTGTATATGCCCAACCATGGGGCTGGGACTGTTTATATGTATATATAACAAATGCTCAGGGACATATTATTGGACTTTATCTGCCTATGCTGATGTATGTGATCCTGGCATATTAGAGGTAGCTCAATGGAGTTTGTTTGTATCAGTGTTATGTTACTATTTAATGCTTCTGATAAGGCCCCGTATGTTAAGTATACCAGGTTAAATATCCGTTTTTAAGTAGGTCATGCCCACACTTTTAGGGGCGGGTTTGGGACGTGTCAGTATATATGTGGAATGTGGAATGCATAGTCCAATTCTCTATGTTTTCGGGGTATCACATAGCCACATTGTCACGTCCCGCCAAATTACCTAGACAAAATTGCCTACCAAGGGGAAGGCTTAAGGAAGGGAGCCTAATGGAAGATTACAAAAGCTTCTAGAAGACTTGAAAGAATATGATAATGTTGTACATAATTCTAGAACGTACATAGATAGTTCCAAAGTAGGAAAAATTCTTGTAATGTGGTAGAAGCCTCCATGACGTTTCTACACACCCTAATTAATAAGGGCCTTGAATGTTTCTAGGAATATTAGGTTGCCCTATAAAAGGAGTGAGAGCTCATTTGCCTCACATCCATCCAAAGTGTAAGAGTTCTCTCTATAGTGAATATACAAGCATTCTCTCAACTAATTTGTGTGTGTTATGCATAGTCTCTCTCTCTCTCTCTCTGTTAGAACATCTCCAGTAGTGTAGTAAAAAAAAGTGTGTTAAAATGTTTGTTATATGAAAAAATGTGTGAAAAATTAACATCACCGATTATGTAGTGTGGCTATAGCTCGCAAAAAGAATGACCAAACTCCTACTATTCTCTGTTGTTATAAGACGTTTCCAAAAAAATGATTATAAAGTTAGTTTTTCCCCTAAACAGTCCACCTCATTTTTAATAGACATGAAATAGCCTTTACAATGGTGTGCTATAAGTGTTTTTGAGATTGATGGTATCAATTATAGACTAATTCACAACGATTAGTATCACCACCAACTTTTTATGGGGAAACTAGGAAACCTAACTTCATGTTAATTTAGGCAATTTGATATGTCTTTACTAAAAATCTTGGTTTGACGGTTTAGGTATGAAAGTAGGTTATTGATTGAGAACTCCTTTCGCTCAATCTAAAATATTAGTCTCTCCTAATATTTTTTTTAGAGACTCATTTCCGCATTTAATTTATAAACTGATTTTAATCACTTACCTATGCCCTTAAACTAACCTATCAACCATGTATATCACATTTTCTTTCCAAAAATCATTTTAGGGTTTCAAATAATGAAAAGTTTCTGAAAAAAAAGGGGATATACATGGTTGATAGGTTAGTCTAAGGGCATAGGTAGGTGATTAAAATCAGTTTATAAATTAAATGTGGAAATAAGTCTCTACAAAGGATATTAGGAGAGACTAATATTTTAGATTGAGCGAAAGGAGTGCTCAATCAATGACCTTCTACTTTCATACCTAAACTGTCAAACCAAGATTTTTAGTAAAGACATCAATACAAACTTGCTCAAACGTGGAAATAATACAAATAATCAATTATAACAAATAGACCAAGAGAAAAGCATGCAGTTCATGTAAAGTGATACAATCACACACAATAGACGGAAAAGAACGGAGGGAGACTTACTGAAATTCTGAGCACCAAAGCCATGAAAACTTAATTAATATTATGTACATATGACCCTAGATATGAAACTGATGCCAAAACTCACAATATACAACTCTAGAGACTCGGTAAGTACTATAGCATGATGAATATGCATTATAACATGATTTTATCCATACAAATCAATTAAAGAAAGTAAATGCAACAATTGACATGTAAAAATGGTGAGTTACCCGGCCTATATACATGATGTGCATGTTATGAATCTTAAAACAACTATACAAAATGCAAAAGAGTGCAAAAGTAGCAAAAGGAAAGGGAAATTCTATTTTCACACACCTACTTACCTCTATACACATCATTTCTCAGTATACACATTTATTAATTTAATTATAAATTATTGTTCTTATTCCACACACTTCATATTCCAATTATACACTAACTTGTATCCTTATACACGCACCACATAAATCCTCCTTCCATACACCTGTACCTATTTTCAATTTAAACCCTCCTTCACACACCTGATATTCAAACTTATGCTTCAAGAAAAACAAAACCCAGAAAATAGTGTGTACAATGAGATGATTATTTATTGTTTAGTATGAACATAATGAACCATGACATATAGATTGAACAATTTGTATTCATAAGAAAGCCCATTGGAGGGCTTCAAGTCCATATATGTGTCAAGACCAAGAGATGAAGCATTGGAGGATCCTAAGCGGGAAGCACTCTTAGTAGGAAAGTTAAAAGGAACACTTCGTAATATAGTTCCTTCTTTAATAGGATCCATCCATACTGAAAATGATGTTTTTAAGGAGTTTTCTGAGATAGTTTACACAAAAGCCAGCCAGTTCTTAAAAAGAAGTCCTAGGATAAATTTTGAATAAACTTGTGTTGACAAAGGTTCTCGGTAATATTCAAGAGTTCTTAGAAGAAATCGTCAAGTTTAACTCTCAAAGAGTTTTACCAGTAAGTGTTAAATCGTCATTTTGATTTAGGATATAATTGTCATTAAAATCATATTTCATTAAGTGTGTAGACAGAGGTAAGTAGGTGTGGAAATAGAATTTTCCAAAAAGAAATGATAAACAACTCTATCATCATGAAACATACGTGACTTCTATCTAACCATTATCAGATATGAAAATCATAATGAAAGTACATGCAAAC